AAACTCGTAGTCTTGAGTGCAAATGGAGAAAAACTAACTTGGACGTTTTTTTAGAATTGCATGGAAAAACAGTATGTCCGGCTATAGACAGGCTCTGAAAACTGCCAGGGCCGAGCATATCCACAATCTCATAGAAAATAATCAAAACAATCCAAGGTTTTTATTTAGCACAGTGGCTAGATTAACAAATAACCAGACGCCACCCGATCTAAATATTCCCTCGTAGTTTAATAGTAATGACTTTATGAATTTCTTCACTGATAAAATAGATAACATCAGAAATGCAATAGCAAATGTAGATTCTACAGCGTATAATACTTCAGCTTCATTCATCGCACCAAAAGATAAACTGCAGTGCTTTACAGCTATAGGACAGGAAGAGCTAAATAAACTTATCACTGCATCTAAACCAGCAACATGCCTGTTAGATCCTGTACCCACTAAATTACTGAAAGAGTTGTTACCTGTAGCAGAAGAACTGCTTTTCAATATTACTAACTCGTCATTATCTTTAGGTCCCGTCCCAAAACCAGTCAAGCTTGCAGTTATTAAGCCTCTTATTAAGAAACCACAACTAGATCCTAGTGAACTGGCAAATTACAGACCCATCTCAAATCTTCCTTTTATGTCTAAAATTTTACTAAAAGTTGTGTCTGCTCAATTGTGCTCCTTCCTGCAAAAAATGATCTCTATGAAGAATTTCATAGAATTTCAAGGTAAGAGTGAATAATTAGGCCCCAACATAGCACAGAAACTATACAGGTATTCAAGGGCAGGCTTTAAGGTGGTTTAGATCCTACCTGTCCGATCACTACCACTTTGTTTATTTAAATGGGGAGTCATCTCAATTATCACCAGTAAAATATGGAGTGCCACAAGGATCTGCCCTAGGTCCTCTGCTATTTTCAATATACATGTTGCCCATTGGTAATATTATTAGAAAATACGGGATTAGTTTCCACTGTTATGCTGATGATACTCAACTATATATCTCAACGAGACCAGATGAAACTTCTAAATTATCTAAACTAACAGAGTGTTTTAAAAATGTAAAAGATTGGATGACCAATAATTTTCTCCTATTAAATTTGGATAAGACAGAGATATTACTTATTGGACCAAAAAACAGTACACAGAATCTCTTGGATTACAATTTGCAACTAGACGGATGTCCTGTTACTTCCTCTACAGTCAAAAATCTGGATGTTATATTAGACAGCAACTTGTCATTTGAAAATCATATTTCCCATGTTACAAAAACAGCATTCTTCCATCTTAGAAACATTGCCAAGCTACGAAACATGTTACCTGTTTCTGATCCAGAAAAGCTAGTTCATGCATTCATGACCTCTAGACTGGACTATCGTAATGCACTGTTAGGTGGTTGTCCTGCATCTTCAATAAAAAAGCTACAGGCAGTCCAAAATGCAGCGGCTAGAGTCCTTACTAGGTCAAGAAAATGTGATCAAATTACCCCAATTTTACAGTCTCTGCACTGGCTACCTATTAAGTTCCGTATCAGTTACAAAATATTATTACTTACCTACAAGGCCCTTAATGGTTTAGCTACTGCGTACCTAACTAGTCTTCTACCACGCTACAATCCATCACGTTCCCCAAGGTCGCAAAATTCTGGACTTTTGGTAGTACCTAGGATAGCAAAGTCCACTAAAGGAGGTAGAGCTTTTTCGCATTTGGCTCCCAAACTCTAGAATAGCCTTCCTGATAACGTTCGGGGTTCAGACACACTCGCTCTCTTTAAATCTAGTTTAAAGACACATCTCTTTGGCCAAGCATTCAAATAATGCATCTCATAATCTTGTACCGCAGTTATATCTGATCAAATGGGGGAAGTCGTGGCCTAATGGTTAGAGAGTCGGACTCGTAACCGGATTCAAGTCCGGATTTTCCGGGTTGGAGTCCCGTACCGGCAGGGATTGTAGGTGGGGGGAGTGAATGTACAGCGCTCTCTCCCACCTTCAATACCACGACCGAGGTGCCCTTGAGCAAGGCACCAAACCCCCAACTGCTCCCCGGGCTGCCCACTGCTCTGGGTGTGTGTTCACCAAGGTTATTTTCGTAAACGAAAACTAAGACGAAAACGATTGATGAAGAAGCAATTTCGTAAACTGAAATAAAATAAAAATGACAAAAATAAATAATCGTTTTAGTAATCATTACGTTCTCACCCCTTGGCGGAAAAATATATGAGCTGTGTGGCGGTTTAGGGAAATACCCATAAATGGTGCATCGTGCACGTGAGGTTATCTGACGGAAAGAGAGGCAAAGCAGTTTAAAGCAGAGTCCTGCACGGGTCCTGTTTGGTAAACGTGCACCAGCAGTACTTAACAGAACACTCGACCCGTTATCCAACAGCAGCACTAATTTAATTCTGTACCAGACCAGACCCGCCCCCCAAAAGCAATCAAACCAAAATTAGGCATTTTAAGTAGGTGCTTTGAAGAAAAACAGGAAACAGAAAAAATTTATTTAACAGAAAAAAAGACGAGAACGTGCATCCTTTCTAAAAACAATACTAAACTTTAGCATAGCATCTTGTGATCAGTCTGCCAGGCTTTCGGACAAATGTGCAGAGCCTAAATCACATCATAAACACGCTTAGAATTCTTAATAAATGAAAAGAGCATAAACTGAAATAAAATAAAAATGACAAAAATAAATAATCGTTTTAGTAATCATTACGTTCTCACCCCTTGGCGGAAAAATATATGAGCTGTGTGGCGGTTTAGGGAAATACCCATAAATGGTGCATCGTGCACGTGAGGTTATCTGACGGAAAGAGACGCAAAGCAGTTTAAAGCAGAGTCCTGCACGGGTCCTGTTTGGTAAACGTGCACCAGCAGTACTTAACAGAACACTCGACCCGTTATCCAACAGCAGCACTAATTTAATTCTGTACCAGACCAGACCCGCCCCCCAAAAGCAATCAAACCAAAATTAGGCATTTTAAGTAGGTGCTTTGAAGAAAAACAGGAAACAGAAAACTGAAAAAATTTATTTAACAGAAAAAAAGACGAGAACGTGCATCCTTTCTGAAAACAATACTAAACTTTAGCATAGCATCTTGTGATCAGTCTGCCAGGCTTTCGGACAAATGTGCAGAGCCTAAATCACATCATAAACACACTTAGAATTCTTAATAAATGAAAAGAGCATATTAAAATATGAGCCTTTACTGTTAAATGCAATTGCCGTTATTGAATTTCATTAGTCCCAGTTATGATTTATGCGCAGTTGTTCACGGAAAAGTGAGCAAAACACGACAGTTACAATATAATATGATTGTTAAAAAATAAAAAAAGATATCTAACCGTCATTACCAAATTAGGCTACATTTATTGTCATATTAAATATCTCAATACACATCATTAGATGACATTAAGAACAACTTGTAGATTTATTTAGTAAACAGGCTTGTCTGCTTCATTTTGGCGTATATTTATATACTTTTACTATTTAATCAATCTCAGCATGTGTTAATTTTGTGTCGCTAGACATTTGCATCACGAAGTCTAAATTATGCCTTGTTGCCTTTTATTCTTTCTTTGGCCTGCGCTCTGGAAGTGATGTTAATTATGCTAAACTTTAATTAAAACTGAAACTAAACTATATAAAAACTAAATAAAAATGTGTTCACAAAATAAAACTAAACTAAAACTAACAACAATATTAAGGAAACTAATAAAAACTAAAAACTAAATAGCAAATTTGAAAATGGTTGGAACAGCAGCTGCGCTAATTATGTCTATTTGTTTCTCTGTTTCTGTAACTAGGATTTACACAAGCTTCAGTCTGGATCCAGAACACCTGAGAAGAGATGATGCCAACCCCTCAAAGGGCCTCAGATGATGCCATCCTGAAACAATATACAGAACTACCAAATTTTGCTATACGTTTGATTGCATCAGATAATAATTGCTGTTAATAGTGTTCATCGTCTGTTTGATTATGTCTTTACTTGATTTTTCCGTACATTTCTGCCATATGTACATAAACTGACAGTCACCACTGATAAGCTACTACTAAATATTGTAGAAACTTAATTTTCTGTTAAGTTGCTTTGCAACGATTTGTATCATAAAAAGCGCTATAGAAATATATTTGAATTGAACATAGGAAACTTCATTTTTCAGACTGCTGATATGGGTTAATCACAATCCCTATTGCGCTCTCTGTCGCCTTGTTTCACAGCAAGTCAGATGGAGTAAAGTGCAGGCTGCTCGTCAGGAGCACCAGTTCCACGTCCCTCGCTGCACCGGGTACAGGTTTCAAAGACGTGCCACAGGAGTGCATTATCATGCATCTGGTGGCGGACACACCGTCAGCTCATTCCCAAAATTTCAGCATTTCCATCATGAAATCTTTTAAAATAATAAAGGCGATGAGATTCGTCTCATCACTGTAGCAGCCAAGTGGAAAATAACTTTGCATTTCAAATGGCTTTTCATAAAGGAGACAGGCGGCTTCTCTTTTGTCAGATTAGTGCGCTAGAACCTTCAGAATAGGAATGAAGGGAGTGTGTGAAAGCACATACTCACAATCAATGACAGTAAGTGGAGACAGAAAGAGCTCAAAATCAACGCACGTGTAACCTGCACCTATCGCTCGAGGGGCGAGCAATATTTGGCTACTAATTACCCAGTATTCCCCCTACTTATAACATACACAACAGTTCCTCCTGTTTGAGTAGGTACATAATAGTTCATAAGGTACAGCAGTCGTGATTATGATCTGAATCAGAGTGGGCTTACCATGAACATGGCTCTGAAGTTGCTGAGGTCAGTGAAGAGTTCCTCCACGGAGGTCTTCTTGGAGTCGATGGCGAAATACTCCAGCATGTTGAGGTAAAGGGTCATCATATTACTGTGCATGATCACCAGCTTCAGGTACTGATCTCTTGCCTGCATAGAGAACCTGTGAGGAATCATTGTCAAGGACTTCATTTTCTTCTGGATTTTTAAACTTTAGTCTAAGAAAAAATCATCCTAACTTAAAAGTAGATAAATACACCAGCAGTGGTTTATGCTATTGTTATTTAAATTTCAAGTTTATTAGTACAGTGCACTCTCATTTCAAAAAGGAAAACTGTTCATCTTTCAACAGGTCACCATTTGGTAATGATGCTGTGAAATGCCAGAGCTGGAAGTGTAAAAATTGTTTCTGCTCAGAATGAACCAAAATGAAAATTAATTTTAAATCTCTGATCACATGATTACATTCCCATAATGCAACACTAACTGCGGAGCTGTGCAACCAGCACATGCAAAAATGTTAGTGAAAAGTTTTAGTGAACCTTAGTTTAATAAAAATTTTTTAAATAAAATAGACACACATAAATAGCCCTACATAGAAAGTTAATTTTAATTATGATTCAACCTGCTGCACTTGCACAGATCCGAGTGCTGTATCGGTGACTGCTTTTTAGCCAATTAAAACTGTGTGTGTGTACAGGAGCCAATGCAAAACATGTAATTTATTGGGAAAGTATGTATACACACAGGCATTTTGTTCATCAACAAACATAATTATAGATGGTTAAAAACTACATCCAGTGAATATGCATTTAGATCTAATGGCAGTATGTATACTCTTAAAAATAAAGGTGCTTCACGATGCCACAGAAGAACCTTTTTGTCTAAATGGTTCCATAAAGAACCTTTAACATCTGAAGAACCTTTCTGTTTCACAAAAGGTTCTTTGTGGCGAAAGAAGGTTCTTCAGATTATAAAAAGGTAAGAAAGAGATGGTTCTTTAAAGAACCTTTGACTGAATGGTTCTTTGTGGAAGCAAAAATGGTTCTTCTATGGCATCGCTTGAAGAACCTTTTGAAGCACCTTTATTTTTAAGAATGTAGACTGCAAATCTCTGCAAAGGTCATGTTTTTATGGTGACCTTTATGGCCACACTTAACACCTATGAATTCATTCAGACCTTAGCAAGACTAGAAACTTTCTGAAGATAATGTGAGTAGTGCTTTGTGTAAAACTCATCACCACAATGATGACACGATTTCCTACTGGCTCAAGGTCCATCCATATGATTTACATTTACATGTAAGCATTTGACTTTATCCAAAGTAACTTACATTGCATTCAAGGAATGCATCAGTTAATGCATTCTTAAGAAATCAAAGCCATGGCCTTGGCTGGTTACTGCCATACTAGCGCTATACTGTTTGAGCTGCAGGAATAATATTCTGGTCTCTAAATGTTGTTCAGGTCCCTCAGTGCAAATCTATGAAATTATTTTTGCTCCGCCTGTACTATCTTCAGCTATGCAAAAACTGCTTAGCATGTCACACAATTTGAGGTATCATTCTCGTTTGTCGCACAAATTACGTAAAATGAGATGAACACCTAAATTTAAATGAACCCCTAACACAAAGTATAAGTAATATTAATAGCTGCAAATGACACTAATTAACATCCTACATGTGATCACTTACATATCAAATGCACACACTGTCATATGTTAACATGCAAGAGTGCACAGAAATATCACATACTTTGAACATAGGTGGTGTGAGAAAGAGGGATGGGCAATAATCTTTGATGAAGATCAAAGTTTCCCTCTTGGAATGGAAAGTAAAACCATCTACACATCAGCAGACAAAGAAAGAAACAAAGGCCAAAAGGAGAATATTTAAATACATAGATAAGCGCCCTTGGGTTTAGATTTTTTTTTACAGTATATAAACAAAAGGGCTCAGAAAAAAGCTTAAATATTCTGATTAGTTACTGCTGAATGAATTAAGTGTTTCACTAGAATGTACGGATATAAAAGCACAACTGACATACAACCCACAGATTCACTCTCAAGGGCAAATAAACTTTTCATTGCACACTCAGCCTTAGCTTCATTGAGCCAAATCAAATGTATATAACATATAATCATTGTCTATAACATTTCTCACACAAGCACGCACATACATGCACTGACACTGTGACTCTTTCACACATGCACACACTAGCATGAGAGAATCTGGGTCTAATATATGCTGTGAGGTCAGAAATGCCTATGCAAAGATGGCAAGCTTTACTCCAAATATCATAGCATTATTTTGATGATAATTGATATAATCGATTTTGATAATTTTTAATTAGTAATTAATCCATTTTAAAGCTGGTGCCTCACATCACACTTAAAAAAAAAAAATAAATAAATAAAAAATAAAAATCTTGTTAAAACTGGATCAACGTCCAAAAAAGGTTTTCTTTTATACTGGCATTAGCTTTAGAGTGTATGTGTGTGTGTCTGTGTTTATGAGGTGTGTGTGCACGAGCTGGCCGCGGGGTGAACTGTTCAGTAGGTTGTGCTCTCAGGTTGACTTGTGAACGGCACCACAACAGCCCCTGTGAAGCGCAGACACACCACACAGATCTGAAGTTAAGTGAAACAACAGATGACAATCTCTCCTGCTATCATTCTCCTGTCTTTCTTAAGTTAAATCCTACAAAATGCTTTAGGGTATTCTGCTCCCTCGCTATAAATAACACTGCATCTGATTTATCAAAGATGCCTTCATCTTCAACTCATACATTAGGACCTCAGTAGATCTCATCTGAATTTGCTTGAAGACTCACGAATCAATGAGCAGCTATCCACACAAAAAATTTAATTTTTATAAGGATTTTAAAAAAATTATTTTATTTTTAGGACATTATGGTTTTTACATGAGTTTTGTTTTAGCAATTTTTAATATCACCAAGGCTCCAACTGTTTTTTATTTTAATATATTTTAAAATTTATTCCTGTGATGGTAAAGCTGCATTTTCAGTCCTCTCATGATACTTCATAAACCATTCTAGTATCCTGATTGTCTTTTTATTGCCAGTGTATTTATATATATACAGTATATATATATATATATATTCATCTGAATTTGCTTGAAGACTCACGAATCAATGAGCAGCTATCCACACAAAAAATTTAATTTTTATAAGGATTTAAAAAAAATTATTTTATTTTTAGGACATTATGGTTTTTACATGAGTTTTGTTTTAGCAATTTTTAATATCACCAAGGCTCCAACTGTTTTTTATTTTAATATATTTTAAAATTTATTCCTGTGATGGTAAAGCTGCATTTTCAGTCCTCTCATGATACTTCATAAACCATTCTAGTATCCTGATTGTCTTTTTATTGCCAGTGTATATATATATATACAGTATATATATATATATATATATATATATATATATACAGTATATATATATATATATATATATATTCACTGTGTGATAATTACTGTCCTACAAGGCAACAGTTTTTGAAAGCTCACCTGAACATGATTTGCATTATCAGATATTCCTAGGCAAGGAAAAGTGACTATTAGCCACAAATCTGCTAACAAGTGGACATCGAGAAAATGGACAGAGCTTCTCTAACCCACACATCTCACTCCAGGACTCAGCACAACAGGTCTGCCACGACTTATTCACGATGAAGACATTATAAGGGAGGACAGACAGGCTGGCCAGCGATGTTTGTTCAGCATACACATGAAATCTCTGGGGTGTTCTTCTGGCTACATATGCACACAGATCTGTTTTGTGTGTCTCCTCTTCTGTCTTTTATACTGCCAGTTCATTCACGCCCTCCAAACACACCAACTTTGGCTCTCTGATTAGAAAAAGAATGGAGCACAGGGGACGTACTCAGCTAATGAAAGGACAGACAGTGTATGAGTGCGAGAGATAAGACTTCATTAACTTCAATACTGATCTGGTTGCTGGTGCTAAGAGCTCAGAGGACAGAAAAGGGCCGTGCCACTTGGAGCTGAACAGTGTTAACGCTGACAGAGGAAGGTGGACTCTGGATTTTTGTTCTAAATGACAGAGAGCTAAACTAAATAAAGAGAGAGAGGCTGATGGCTGACCCTTGAACACAAGCTCTGTGCAGAGGGATAGAAAAGCATAAATTTTCTCCGGTACACCTGAGCCTGTTAGACACTCTCATACTGTCCTCTCACACACAACACCTCTAAGACACATTATTAACAAACACACCATTACCTGAGACACACACATACACACTACATGGACAAGTGTTTAAGCTATTTGCATTATTTATAAATATATATATATATATATATATAAAAATAAAAAAAAGCACACGAAGCAAAACAAAACAACAAAAAATTCAATACCGGCCATTATGGTACTATAAGACCATATCATGCATCCCTAATATTTTCGTATATTACCACAAAGCGTACACATGCAACATAGACTTCCAGTGTGAGAGACCAATGCAAAAACCCTGTTTGTAATTGCCAACTGGAAACCTAGCGAGCTGCCCACCAAGACAGCATATTTTTGCCATCATCTGTTCGTGCAATTTTTTTTTTTTAAATCAATACCCAAAAATGCTGTCAAGCACGGTAGCCCATTAAGATTTGAGTCAATGCATTTATAAAACATCTTAGTAGGGACAAGGTACTAAGTGTTGCTATTAAAATTGGGGAAAAATAAAAAATAAAATACTACAGCAAAACAAAAAAAACAAAACGGCAATAGAAAAAGGACTGCATGAAATAAATAGAAAAAAAACAGAGAAGGGATGTAGGGTGGAGGACACTCCATTATGTGGCTGGTGAGTAAGATAATAACCTCCCCTGGTAGAGTCTAGCCAGAGCACCGTGAAGGGTAGAGCAGTTGGGTCAGACCCAGAACACAGGCATCTACTGCAGGCACTCGCTGGATCATGAGCACCACACTAAAATAATATAGTAAAAAAAAGCATCTGTTTATGCCCATGAAACAGCAAGAATAAACTCAGTAAGCCTGAGTCTAAGTCAAAAACAGGAATAATGAAGCTACCCAAGACTACCTGCTGCACCGAACTATACAAAATGCATGAGTGGAAAGGTTCATTGAGGATCATTTGAGTGTATGTTTTGTTCAGCATTTAGTTTGTGCCCCAGGTATCTCCTCTGGCAACACGTCTGGCTTTCAAACGTCTGCCATTTGCAGAGGAGACAGCATCCAGACCGCAGGGAACGGTTTCGAGTACAATGACAGACAGCAGGGAAAAGAACTAACAAGCAAGTACAGGAATGTACAACTCCATTATCAAACCGTCTTCAGTTTCACATGCAGCCCGGTGAAGTTCAATATAAATTATTAATTTGCACATGCCGACATAAACTCTGATTAGCGTTTGTGAATGAGCCTGAGTCTAAGTCAAAAACAGGAATAATGAAGCTACCCAAGACTACCTGCTGCACCGAACTATACAAAATGCATGAGTGGAAAGGTTCATTGAGGATCATTTGAGTGTATGTTTTGTTCAGCATTTAGTTTGTGCCCCAGGTATCTCCTCTGGCAACACGTCTGGCTTTCAAACGTCTGCCATTTGCAGAGGAGACAGCATCCAGACCGCAGGGAACGGTTTCGAGTACAATGACAGACAGCAGGGAAAAGAACTAACAAGCAAGTACAGGAATGTACAACTCCATTATCAAACCGTCTTCAGTTTCACATGCAGCCCGGTGAAGTTCAATATAAATTATTAATTTGCACATGCCAACATAAACTCTGATTAGCGTTTGTGAATGTGTGTGTGTGTGAGGCTGACAAGGGTGCTAGAAAACGTGTCACCACCATGTGCAGAAGAACTAACAACATAGACAACAGAACAACGAATAAAAGTGTTTAGACCAAAAATAAAGAAACAAAAAAATTATAATGTACAGTGCATGTGCATGCAAACGTGTGAAAGGATATTGCCATCTTGCTGTGGAACAGGTCCTGCTGGTCGTCTGTGGAGCTGAAAGTGTCCAGATCCTTCTCCAACTGTAGCAGGTGTTTCTCCATCTGTCTCAGGCTCTTCTCAAGGATTTCTGCTGATACTAGACACACATAGATACAGATTTAAAACAATGCACTGACACGCTTTGCTTACACCAGATCCAAAATCCATGTTTCCAGATGACAAGCATTCCTCAAAGACTAAGTTCTGTTGGACAGAGACACACTGGAAAGAAAAAAAAAAGAGATTTCAGAGCTATAACGGAAGTGAATATTTTCAACATAAATTTCAGTCTGTTCCTCACACAAAGTTGCCGTATAGCTTCAGAAGACTCTGCAGTTCTATGGACCCCTGTTACGATGCATTTTTCATCCTTTTTGTAGCTTGACAGCAAACAAGTCCTTTAAAAAAGTAGTAAGAGTTGAAGTCTACTCTCTCACAAGCAGTGTGAAGGCCTTTAGACTTCAACAGTCAAGATGTTTAATAATTTATAATCCTATGGTCTCAGTAGCATTAACCATTTTATTTCAAATCACTTTATTGCCATTTGATTGGGATTTTTGTTATGCAGCGGTTATGTTAATTGAATCTATAAAAAAACACAACACACAAACAAAAAATTAAAACATTTAAAAAAAGTTCCTGTACAACTAAACCAGGTCTGTGTCTTTCACTAGTTCCTCACACACGCTGGTAGTTTGATGAGGTAATTATGTGACTTTAATAAGAGGCTCAGGTTTGATTAAGCAGACGCTGTTTAGAGGGGACAATCCCATACCATGCACAGTGTTAGATAAAATTGATGGGACACATTGACTGAGCCTCGTGTGTTGAGATTTGGCTTAAATATCCTCAGCTAAGCAGAATATTATTTATTGCATTTTACTGAGGAATTGTGTAAATGTTAAACTACTTAAATGGTAATCTGCTTAGTTAAGTCTGACTTTTTTTTTCTTTTGGTCCTTAATGATTTCTAACGTACAATTTGAGGCTTATAACAACTGAATGTGCCTCATACTTTTCCTATACCTTGGCCTAAAGGGCTGAAAAGCACACATTTTGCATTCAGAACAACAAAGCTTCATCGGAAATTCGGAATGCATGTATACATAATCAGAAAGGACAAGTTGAATGCAAAAACCCCGCTTTAGCCACCATCATCTCTAGCTCCCTTTCATGGAGTCAATGTAGAGAGAGACAGAGAGACAGAGGTAAATGTCTCTATTTGGTTTCACTTGACTGTGCCAGGAGCAGCTGGCACTGCCGCTTTGAGTGTGACCCAAGAGTCCAGTGCCTACACACACAGACCTATTTGTCAATCTGAATATTTGTATGGTACATTTATTCAGGCACTAAGTAACTTCCGAGCATAACTCATTTGGCACCTTGTTATATTATATGCTCTTTTGTTGTGCAACCACACAGCAATACAGAAAAAATAGTTTTATTTGTCTTAGTATAGCTATTTGTAAAATCTGAGCTGTGTGTGGCCGCTAAATCTAGTCTACAGTTATACATAGATGCACTATGATACACTATTAAATGCACACTTATGCCAAACAACAAAACTACTTAAATCACTCATGCTCTTGAGATGCAACTGCAGAGTGAGCTAAGTGTGTGTGTTTGTTTGGTGTAAGGGGGTTGGGGAGTGTAAACCTACACTCGAAGCGCCCATTCAGAGGGATACTTGAGAGCCAGGAACATCAGAGGACATCACTCTCTCGTGAAAGAAGAATGTCATATACACCTAGGATGGCTTGAGGATGAGTAAATCATGGGGTAATTTTCATTTATGTGTGAACAATTCCTTTAATTATTTATTTTTTCCCCAGGATTCTTTTATGACATTACAAATGTCTTTACTCTCACTTTTAATTTGTCCTAAAAGTATTAATTTCCAGATATTCCAGAAAAAAATGCTGTCTAGCTCTTCTGGTGCCATTTCTTAAAAGTCACTTTGGAAGCCAAGTGTGTGCCAAAGGAAAAAAATATAAAAGAAAGCTTCAATAACAGTCAGCAGGTGTTCTTGAAAACACTAAAGAAACCCACATGCATGAACCCTCCATTAGCAGCCGCTGAAGGACATCATCCTAGACCTAACTATACCACAATGGGAGACAAAACCATAACTGTAAGGGAATGACATGAGCTAATTCTTAATGAAAGTATTTTCAACTCCACAAGAAAAAAAAACATGCACCTTCTAATTCAAGCTCTAAAGAAGAGAATAATGGAAGTAATATCTGTAAAACAGTCAGAGGCTGTTTCCTGAGGGAAGTGCAGGGACAGATATTCAGCGTGGTGGGGATATGTTACCCATAATGCCATTTCAGCTTTGATGAAGGGCACAAGAGCAGGCAGCACTAATGAAATAGGTAACGGGAGGGAAAAAGATGGACAGGGAGGAAAAAAGTGAAACTAATAAAAGCTGCAGAGACAGAGCCAGGAGGAGAAAGTGGACATGATAGAAAAACCTTCAAACATTCTTGGAACACAAAAAGAGATCTGAGCTGTTCATTTCCACACAGTGAAACCAAATTGTGATCATGACCAATCAAGCACCATGAAAGTAGGCCTTACAGCTTGTGTGCCTATCAATATATGCAAACGCAGATCAGATTTTCAGCAAATAATGCCTTGTGGTCCTTTTGTCACAAAGCTTATCATAAAACTTCATAAGACCTCTAAAATAAGTTGCATGGACCACTTCTACGGTTATTTTTGTCATGTTCAGAGCTGAATTTTAATTGCATAGAAAGGAGCAGAGCAAATAGTTTGCTAACGTCTTTCATCTGCAAAGGAAGAAAGAACACCATATGGGTTTGCAGCAACATGAGGGTGAGTAAATGACAAATTGAGCTAACAGTTCATAATAAAGCCAACATGAATCAAAAAATGTACCCCATTTAGGTCTTAATAAATGTCCCTGGTCTTACTGTGCATAATTCTTATTAGCACATTATTCTTAAAATTATTTATTTTTCATAATAGTTAATATAAAAATGTAATAATGTTCCCTGCCTCTGAAATTGTCATGTTCAGCTGATGCAATCAGCTCTAAACAGCCAGAAAACAACATTAACCAATAATATTACAGCCTAACAAGTCTAACAATCCAATAAAATCCCAACTAATAAGTCCTGCCCTCCATCATTATTTGTTTCATTTAGAAAAACACAGAAGTTTCATGTTCTATTTCAACAGTTTCTCTAAGGGTGCCAGACATATAGGCAGGGCATTTTTTAAATCACTTTGTCTAATAATCCAGTTTGATTATTTGTATTTGCTCTGCCAAAAACTCTCAGTCCTGCTTTACGGAAGCATTAGGTAATGCAGTGAGTTGGTCTAGTCTTATAATCACTAGACTTATAATTGTGAGCGCACAAACACACGCACACAGGCTGACATTATCTCTGTGCCCAGTGTTGCCAACAGAGCATGTGCAGCTAAATGAGACTGTGCAGAAGTCAACACAAACTCACACACAGAAACTGGTAGAGTTCACGTCCTGTACATTGTGAGAGTGACATTAAAGAACTGTTAAAGTATTCTGTAATGCTGGTAGCTATGGACTCAAAAGTTGTTGTTTTTCCCCCTCACTTTTCTGATGGTCAGCCAGGGGAGTTGAGAGTGCTAAATAACCAGAAAACCATCCTATTAGGAATGAAACGAAACAAAACGAAACAAAATAAAATGAAAAGAAACCTGTCCACTTTTAAATAGATACTGTTTCTGTGTGTAAATGTTCCAGTACCTCGACTGGCCTGGTTCACATGCTGTAGATCCTCCACAAACTTCAGTACTTCAGGGAATTTCTCCTCACAGATTTCTGCCAGGAAGTGAAGCAGAGTGGACTTCTGATCAGCCGATTTAGTGTCCTTCAGCTAGGAGCCAAAGAAAGATAGAGAGGTAGAGATAGAAGAAAAGGGGGAATTCAATTATTTTTTGTGATACCAACATTAAATCATAATAGAAACGAAAAAATGCATTAAAAAATGAATGCAATATTTGGATGTTCAGAACATTTCAGAAATAGAGAGAAATCGGAAAGAAAGAATCCTGAAGGAAGCCATCAGTGTCCGCCGCCTTCACATCTGACAAGTTAATTTGATAGTATACTGAAATTGCCGCCGGACTAGAAAAGCAAGACATTTTCATTGTCAGTTATGATTATCATTGTGGCACAAGTATACAGGCCTTTGTAAAAGGCAGTGCAAAAAGTGTTTGATTAGCGTGGATAGCGCAAACATTATTAAGCTCTTCTGGGTGGTGTAGCCTGACAATTTAAAATGCTTGATTACCTGGGGGGTTTGGGGGGGGGAGCTTGTGCAGTGATAGAGATTAAGTAAAAACGAAGTTCCAAATAGGCCCTTATGAAACGAGTGATGAAATTGGAGAAATCGACTTCCCATCTAGTCCATTTTAATACTCAACAATATCTTACACTCTGCCATTTCTTTTAAATGTATGTGTTCTGACAGAGGCTTTGTGCTGGATATACACACAGGGTTCAACTGAATAATTGCAGAGTCAGAACATTTGGAAGCCGTGTGAAGCGTAAGACAGATGACGGAGGATGAAATTAGGTTTTGTTGCTAAGGCTTCTCAAAAATCACACGTGTTAAGATGGAACAAAAAGGCCAGATTCTACAAATTGCTTGTGCTTATTTCATCTAAGTAGTATGAAAATGACAAAGGAACAAAGAAACCCAAAATATCTCATCTGATGATATCATTGAAGTCATTGATGTCTGTGAAACAATCTTAAATATTGGTTCTTAATCAGAAAAGGTTTCCTGGAAGAACAAAAAAAAATCAACAACATTCATTGAGATTCTGACGTCCATGACATACTGAACCGTCCTCTGCTGATGAGATCAAACAGTGAGGCGCGTGTCATTTGCTTAAAGGGAAGTGCTTTCAAATCCTTTGACAACTAAATATGTTCGATAAACCCACTGTGAGCAAAAGAGAAAGATACTGACAGGTTAAACTCAAAATAAAACAAACAAACTATCAGATCAACCGAGGCAGAGAGAGAACATCAGGAGAGACCCTCAGGCGAGGAACTTGAAAGGCAGAAAACGACACTTTCTTTGTTACTCCTGCCCATCAGGGACTGTATTGCTATGTGCAGATGTAGAAATGTAGTCTCTCTCTCTGCAATGAGGACAGTTAACTCCATTAGCTCAGATGCACAAGGTCCTTAAGTGGGTTTAAGGACAGATTTATGATGAGTGTGTTGATATGTAACATAAATGAGCAGAAGATTTATATTAATGTATATTATGGACCTCAAGTTACTATATAAACATAAACATATGCACATACACACAGCCATCCAAAATTTTGGGGCCAGTATTTTTTTTTTAATTAACAAGATTGCATTAAATTGAACAAAAGTAGCAGTAAAGACTTTTACCATTTTAAAAATCATTTTTATTTCAAACAAATGCTTTCCTTTTGAACGTTCTACTCATTGAAGGATCCTTAAAAAAAAAGTATCATGGTTTCCACAAAAATATAAAGCAGCACAACTGTTTCCAATACTGATAATTGCTTCTTGAGCATGACATTTATAATTTATAAGTCACCCTAATATCATTCTAAACCCATATGACTTGCTTTGTTGCATGGAAACTTTGACGAATGTGAGGAAACGGCACTAAAAAAGTTTTTAAAAATCATAAAATAAGCATGGTAAAAATAGTCTGTATGACTTGTGCTGTTTATTCTCAGCCCTCTGAAGATATACAATAGCTTTGTGTGAGGACCAGACCAAAACTTAGAGGCATTTCCAGACCATCTTAACATGACATGGAAAAAATCTCAGTGAACATTCTTCAGGGGGTTCTACTTTTGAGTTTCACAGAAATCAGGAAGCAATTTGGGCTTTGAACAACATGAGGGTGAGGAAATAATGACTGACATTTTATTTTTGGGTTATTCCTTTATAAAAAGCCTGACTGTGAGCATGTCCACATACAGTCTTTGGCCTTTTATTAGGCCTTCTAGGCGACATGATGAGCAGGAAGGCATTTCATTATCCCGGAGAGAGTCTCAAATGCAGTGATGGCCGTTCTCTGAGCTTTAGCACCAAACAGAAGGGAAGGAGTGAAAGTAGTAATTAATAAAATGGATGGCTAATAAGAAAGAAAGAAAGAAAGAGGCAGATCAAGCCAGATTAAAAAAAAAAACCGAATGCCAAGTCGCCATGGAAACCTAAGTAACTCTACATGGCTGCGGTGGTAATTAATTATATTCCCCTTCTGCCCTTTTCCATTCACCTAATTGCAAAAATTTCACCCAAACATTATCATTAGAGGGCTTTACGCATGGAGCACCCGTGCAAAACTAGCCACCAAAATTCTAAGACAACTGCTAAGGTGTTCTGTGCTTAACATGGCAAAAGGACAAAGACAATCCATTAGCGTTACATTAACACACCTGACTAAACAGAAAATAAGGACTGTCCTCTTACCGTCAAGCACATATATGTCTGCATTACGTCATTATGCCGAGACTTATCTTTGAAAACAGAAGGAGCAGACATAAAGTGGTTTTTGGTCTCTGAACTTTGATAGATGCCAGAAGATATGGCTATTGTGGTCTTGAGTGCTTGATAGTGTTAAATCAAATGAGATCTTCTCGAATGCCAGTCGTTTCTAGTGAGAGGCACTTTAGATGGGCTGGCCGATAGGGGTCAAGGTAACGGGAAATGTGCGGGAGGAGAGTGAAGGACACAGAAGCTGCAGCCAGACGCTCGTGCCTGCTGGTGACTCAGCTCTGGCTCCTTCACAAACATCAGAGGAACACAAATTATCATCTTATCAGCTTCTTCCCAAAAACAGAAAGCAGGAGAAGAGCGTTTGATGGAAAATGCCCATGGTTTATGTGGGCGGGTATGCTTCTAATATGAAGAGACCAGACAAACGGATAAATAGTGGCTAATAATTCACAAAATTAGTAAATATGGATAGCAGGTCACATAAATGAGTTAAAGGCTGGTTTTACTGGATGAGCTGATACCGCTGATGGAGGTTTTCATGGAATACACTTAATCTGTTTGTAGGAAACCAGCTCAAAACAGCCTCTAGACTTAATGTTTTTGATTCAGAAATTTCAAAGCAGTTGTTTTAGAAATGCGTAGGCTTGCATCTGACAACGCCTTCAACCACAAACAGCTCCATTGAACACATCTGACCATATTTCAATCCATTTGGCAGACTTTGTATATGTTTCCGTACACAAAATGTGCACAAAAAGTGTGCCGAATCTGTGTGGGGTTAGAAATGAAACTTAAAAGGCTCTTTCTCTCTGTACGTACCTTGCAGAGCGAGCTGAGGTTAAAGCCGAAGGACTGGGCGTTCCGCGAGCCAGCGTTCATGAAGTTCCCCATGAGCAGAATGAGTTCCAGCAGCCTGCTGAAAGGTTTGCTCTTCCTCATCTCGTCACAGGCTGTGTTCACCGCCATGATGTCCGGACGCAAGTTACTCACTTGTTCTTCAAACTGCAGCTTAAACAAGATGGAGTTGAGTCTGGGCCTCAAACGCTTCACGCTACTCATCTGGAAGAACAGAAAATAAGCAGAAATCAGTGGACCTAAATGTCTATGGAATAAAACCTAAGTGCACTTCCAAACTAAATGGCAAAAGTTCAATCTTATAATTCATTCCTGCTAAACGCAATATCAATTCAATTGAAACATACTGAATAAATCAAGGGGATTTAAGTTTAATAAAACCTCCAAATCCGAAACAAAAAATTTATTCCTGAATGAAATAAGCTAATTTATTGTCAACATTTCTTTCAAACCTGGCTAATATATTGGATGGATTTAAATGAGTTTATTGAATTGCATACCAGTTTAACTTCTAACTAAAATCACTCACACATTAGTTAAGATCAATCATTACTTGGGTCACTCATCTGAAACTGATCTTTCATAATGAGTATATCTACATGTATGAGTGTAATTTAAATCCTACACACATGCGTAGCGTATATGTGTGTTTGTGCAGGTAGTGTGCATTTCAGGGGTTAGGGAAAGGAGGGTTGAGCAGGACCTAATTTGCCCCTATAAAAACCTCTTAGCTATCACAAATTAAGTGTGTAATTAAGATACTCAATACGGAGACATGATCAATATGTCTAGACATGTTTTCCATAATCAGATATCATCTCTTGTACATGCACGCACACTGCATTCAGTCTGCATGTGTGTATAAATAAGGACAATGACAATGGACCAAAAGCACAACAAATCCAAATTCAAACAAAAAGACTGATGGAAAGAAGGGGGAAACTGAGAAGAGAAGGTAAAGAAAATAGGGCAAAGCCAAATGCCTAATTTATGAGAGTAAACATTCAGCATACTTGTAGCAGGCATCTTCTGTGTGTGTCAGGCAGCGCTAATCTGCAATGAAACAGACCCAAATTCAAAGCTCTCCTAGCCATAAATGTTTGAGGGAGATTTGTACCCCTACCCCCACCTCAGCACATACAAGGAATTATTCATTAGAGCTTTTGAAAGACAGCAAAGTAATAGTTATCAGGGAGGTTCAGTGATGCTGGAAATCACATAATAGCTCCTGTATATAAAACACTTCAGGGACTTCATGACACCAGACACATGGTGCAATGAAAAAAGACAGACCATATATTTTAACAAAGGCATAAAATTATGCTTTCATCAATGAATTGATGAAAAGCTAGAAGTTTACCAAACATGTTATCTTGTAGAATCTGAACTGAAAAAAACAAACATGAAACAGCATTAGCAATATTTTTTCTGTTATTTCCAAATATTCCGAAAGAAAATCATGTAGGGCAAGACTTTATCTTATTCTTCAGAATTCGATTGGATCATGCTAATTATGATACTATTGGTTATGTTCCCCCAACCACGCAGCCTTGGTTGCCTCAGTAGAAAGTTGTTTCAGAAGCAGAGAAAGTATTATATTGACATAGACCATCACGACAACAAAAACGTCCTTTTGTTTTCTTCTTTAGAAAAACTACCCACTGATGAATTGCATACAAGACCAGGGAAATATAGACAGTAAATAGGGTCAATTTTGGCATTATGTTGTCTAGACATTTCCCTCTTCAATTAGAGTGGCATCTTCATTAGTGAATATTCTCTTTGATCAGTGCTGGGAGCCTTTTCACCACCTAGTTCAAAGTAACACTTTCTTTCTGAACAAAGCAACTATCCATATGTGGGTGTTTCTTTAACTATGGTCACATCTGGCCTTGTTGACTGAGTATAAACTCTGCTTTACTAGTCTGAGTGTGAAAAGTGTTAATTAATTTGCTTTGATTTGGTTACAAATCTTTACTGTTGCTTTTGATCAATTTAAAGAGTCTTTGCTGAATGAAAATATTCAATTCAACATCTGACTGTACATTAAGCCTTAGGGTGTATTCACACCTGTCTTGTTCGATTTGACTGAATCGAACTCAAGTTTGTTTCCCCTCTTGGTGCGGACCTTTTTGGCAGGTGTGAATACAGCAATCGCACTCGGGTGCAGACCAAACAACCGTACCGAGAGACCCAGCTGAAGAGGTGGTCTCCGTCCGCTTCCAAACGAACTCTGGTACGGTTCGTTTAAGGTGTGAATATGACCCGACCTCGATCCGACCCAATTGCAGAAATCAAGCTCAGAAACAGACAGCTAGCACATATAGTGCTGTTATTTGCCTTTCAATGGCTTAAAAAAATCACTTGTTTTTAAACCAAAATGCTTAAAAACATGCAAATGATGAGTTTTCGTGACCATGGCGCACAGCGACGTGACGTGAGCACGCTAAATAGGCTAAAGCTTGTCGGAAAAATTACCATGACTATGTTGGGGGAAATAGTAAGGAGATATTTTAATTATTTATTAATAAACTAGTGTTTTATGAGTCAGTGTCACAATGAAGTTGATGATCCTGACTCGCCATCTCATCATTGGACGCGCTTTTAGAAAGAAATGCATCTTTACGGATGTTTTTGTTTTGGATTTGAATTATTTCGTTTTGTACTCCTTTAAAGTTTTCTGTAGATATATTCATAATGCATGTAAGGAAAATATTCGCTGAGTTTCGGTGCATTTTTGTGAAGCGCTCCTGTTCAAGTCCGAGATGGCAAGCGCATCCTATTTCCTGTTTTCTTTATTTTACAAAAGCACAAGGTTTTCTTGACATTGTGAGTGCACACAAATAAAAAAAGACCCTTTACAGTTCTGAACGATGTATTATTCTTACCTTTATGAGCGAAAATGACGGCGTATTTAATTTGTTTCCACTGATGTCCTGAAGCGCGCTTCCACTCTCTGCACAAACGATTGGATATGCACCTAATAGCGCACATTTATATAGGTTAAATGTTTAAACTAACATTGTGATATGCTTTAAGTATTTTATATCTATAGTTTTTTTTTTTGGCAAGCCGTAATTACAACATTGTATGACATTGTCTCATATGATGCTCATAAGTTTCTTCACTTTGCGTTAGTATCTAACACCAAATCAGTAAAATAATAAAAATTGCACTATGAAAGATCTCCATGATTAGCCTGTTTTTGCACTTCCTGTTTTTCCCTGCTTGAGAATTTCTGTCCAATGAATGGATGACCTTGGCACACGTGTGGTTTTGTTTACAATTTCTGGTTCACTTGCAAAAAAAGGCAGTGTGAAAGCGAACTGCACCAAACAATAAAAAAAATCAACATTGTATTTGGTCCGGACCACAGCAAGTGAACTAGCGGACTTTCCTGGTGTGAATACACCCTTACATAAATGTGTTGTTCAAAAAGTACATGAAACCAATTCAAATCCATCCACCACATAAAGAAAACACCATGATACCAGCTAAACTTTACTGCGCAGAGTCCTCAAGGTAAGACATTCAAATCACTCTTTAAAGTTTAAATTCAAATGCATCTGCAGACGGGAGTGGAGGTAACACCGTGCTGCCTGCCACTCAGCATGTGACGGTATTCAGAAGGGAACAACTTTTCAAGTGTTTCAAGTATTATTCCTTATCAGGAAGCTAAATCATAATTTCTCACAACCACCCAGATTGCCTGCTGAACAACAGAAGCATTTCAATGTGTGCGCGTGTCCCAGTAGACCCTGAACACACTTGCTACTGTGGGATAACAAATTTAAGAATCAGTTTAAAATATGCTGATCCTATGTTCTGACATAGCATCACATGAAAAACTAAGGTGAAGTACGTTGCATTTAGCATTTAAGGTAAATTACATCAGAAAAATTATTATCTTAAGCAAAGTGTAGCAAGAGGTTCCTGTCTCTTCCTGTTCTCCTATTGTTAGTAAAATTAACCAGATTACTGAGACGATCACCTTTTGTTTGTAATGGCTCTTGGTGCCTCTGCCCCAGTCTTTGAGTAGTTATACTGATTGGATTAGCACCTATGCATTTGAATGACACTGTTATGCTGATGAGATCAAGGCTGGGAAAATGCCGGTGTCGGGCTGATTGCCTGTACTTCATTTGCATGCTATGGGTTAGATTGTCTCCACCTCTACTGAATGTATCCCACCCCCTTAAAAATGTATATAAACTACAATGTATTACCTGCCTTAGTCAGACTTTTAATGACTGCAGCGCCACGCAGCGTGTTCTCAATAAAGTACTCTGCTGAAGATACCCAAGAGTCTCCTGGTCTCTGCTTCGACGAGGAAAAAGTTTCCTACACTACATCTCTAGTGTATATGGCCTGCTGGAAGACTCGATGGGGAACAGGACACACACACCTGTTTCATCTTTCTGCCTCTATTGTCTGGCTGAGTTAGTTTGCCTGATTTAAACGTTTTCTTTTTGTGCACCTTGAACTAAGTCCTGTTTAAAAGGGGGGGGGGGGCTGTTGCTATGGTAACAGATGATTTCTCTTCTCTGAGAGTTTTCTGGTAAGAGGTGTAATTCTTTACGCTCAGCTTCACCTGACTAAAGCGAAACTGTTTATCAGGAGCTAAAAATACCGCATGCAGCCATTAATAACATTTATTCAGTGAAACAAAGCAGATGGCTGAAATAGAAGTGTCACATATGGATAAAAACACCACATGCACACGCTTACACACAATCACTCTTAAGATCATATGATCTTAAGGTCCTGACAGTAGCATGCTATATTTTATGGTCCACTTAGCAGGCAGCAAACAAAGGGTTCAAAGTTCTGGCTCCAGAAAAGAACAGAGTACACAACTGCTTGCAATGAGAGATTAAGAATTCCCTTTGAACTGGATAGTTCTCTAAACTGCAAATGCATAATTTCCTGCTGCCCAGGCATGCATAAACCACAGTTTCATATCCCTCATTATATAATAAACACACCAAACACAACGACAGGCCGCTCTGCTGCATGAAGCGACTCCCTTGTGCCTTTCTTTTACTTCCTATCATTTCTCACAAAATTCCAGCATCCCAGTTGTCTTAAAAAGTCAAGTGTAATGAGCCTAAGACAATGGGGGGTAGGGATGGGTACCGAAACCCGCTATTTAATCGGTCCCGGGGCTAAATTATCGATAAGCTCTGACGTTAACGGTTCTGCTATCGGTACTGGAGAAATTAATAAAACACACCTACATTTATTATTGCTATATATACATTATCTTGCAAATTCTATCTCACCAGAGTCGCCAGCTGTTTTTCAAACATTTGGCTATGATGCATTTTTGCTATTCACAATTCAGAAGCAACTTAACGTCAGAATCAGCTCAATCGGTGATTGTTGTAAGATGCCGTCTTTACTGTTGCTAAATTGCGGGACATGTTTGATAATAAAACGTTGAAAGCACAATCCGCACAAGAGACGCTGTTCCCCAGGCCGAAATGTGTGTGCTTGGAGAGTATTTACTTAAACACAGTTTATGTCTTAAGTGGAGGAGAACAGTTGGGAGAAAATCCGATGCGTGTCAATATATTGTCTTAAAGTGACAGACTGGCGCTTGGGCCATCAAAATGCAAATCTGCTCTTAATCTGAATAACGTTATAGCTTTAATAAGCATTAGTCTATCAATACATACACTGAAAACTATGCAGTGTTCATTTACATTTGATCACTTTTAGATTTCTTTTATAGGCTATTACTTACCTGAACAGTAATGTTAGTAGAACTTCATAGGAAAATGACAGCACTGTTTATTTCATTTCATTTGTATATTTGTTTTATTGTATTTGTCAGTTTGTTTTACTTTGTTTCTTTGTTCATGTTCTTACTGTATCTTATCTTATGTATAAAACACTAAAAATGCCTGCACACTGGTGCATTTACAAATTGATGTTTTATATTCATTTCATTAAATATTTTTTACATTTCAGAATATAAAGCAATGTTAATTCAGCTCTTAATTTGTCATATATATATATATATATATATATATATATATAAAACAAAAAGTACCGATATGAATACTGTTAACGTACCGAATCGATAAGCAGTATCGGTAAGAGTAATAATACCGTTAAAACCTTAACAATACCCATCCCTAATGGGGGGTGAACAAACCTGTTAGAAGCTAGCACATGTTCACAAACATGATAATTAATATGGGAATCTCTAGCAGGGTCAGCCGCTGAACTGTGCCCTTGGCGATTGAGCGGACTGATTGATCAATTATTCAGTGGTGAGCAGCATGTATTTAAACCATGACAAATCCAAACGGGGGCAAAAGACACAATTTCATGTGAATTGGAGTCTGACAATCTTTTAAACCTAAATTTCACACATCTTGACAGAGTTGAGAAAAGCTCTGAATCTGATGTCACACATTCAGAGATGGGTTGTCAGAAACAATCAAATATGAGAAAAGCCTTCATTACCATGTCAGATGACAACTCCTGAACATATTACATAAGAAAAATTACTATTAAAATTCAACTCTATCCTACAAAAAACTCTAAACTGTGTTAAAAAAAAAATTGCTTCATATCAAGATGGACATCACGGAAAGTAATGATAACTCTCAGTCAGATGCTGATTCAGTAGCTAATCAGTGATCTAGCAATTTCATTTAGCAAAGGATTCATCAAACTGATTTTAATTGGTATTGAGGAAACAATTTGGTAATCATAACTGTTAACAATTTGGTAAATCAATTAAGGGTGCACTGACATCATAAATATACTGATATTCAGACAATTATTTTCATGTTATGGCTGATTATTAGTGTTATCTAATTAGTGTGCATGTTAGATGAAGACAAATGTAATTTAAATGTACAAATAGGGGAGATTCATGCAATTAATTGACAGATTTAAAAAGTTTCTATGGTACAGATATATTGGCAATTTCTATTTAAATCACAGTTCAGACTGCTAAACCATAATCTGGGCAAATATAATTCTGTTTGCTTTGGTGCTAGATATTCAGCAACAAAAGAGCCATGGAGGAAGCACTGCTTTTTCCTATGTCAGTTCCAATGTGCTTGAGACAACTATAAGTTTAGTTTCCCTCCAAAAAGTGTAAACACTGGCACTTTTAAAACATTACTCTGGCTCAACCAGAAAACAGCTTGGTACTTGTGTGAAACATCAATTTATAATTTAAAACCTTATTCACTAAGAGCTTAAGCAAGATCTGTTTTACTAACTACAGAGGAAACAGTAAAGACAGCTGAGTTAAAACTGTGTTAATATGTGTCAGGTCTACCATATGCATTTTCCATTAGAGAACAACAGTAATTCTTTCTCTGTTCAGAGTCACAGTACACATCTTGGATTGTAAAATATGTAGTTGTTTTGTTTGTGACAAGAAGATGATATCTGTTTCAATTTAAGAGAATAAATAAATCTTGTGTAGAGGGACAGACACAACATTGATCTTAGAAAAGTTTAAATAAAGAGTGATTGATGACTTCTAACTGGACGCGTCACTAATCGTGTATACAGTGCCAACAACATAGACGGTGTGTGTGTGTGGAATTACCACTACTCCAAACTGCTCTGGTTCAGAGAGGTTGGCATATTCGCTCTTGTACTTGACCAGTGCGTTCAGCTGCTCCTGATCAGGCAGGTACTTCACGAGATTCTGGAGGGGAGAACAAAACAAAGAACTTGTGTTACAAAGAATGTGTGCTACATTCATTCAATTAGCAGTTCAACTTTAACCTGCGATCTAATTGTTGCTGGTTTAGTTAGTGTCTAGCAATTTAGTAGAGATCCTCATCTAAATCGACTCTCTGGTGTTTAATGACACACTAGACTAATTGAAGGGATGATATATCACCCTGCAGAACTCCGAGGTTAAGCATCTTGCTCAAGACCAAAACGACACTTGAGCAGACCTGTGATCTCAGTAACCCTATTTGGATTCATACGGTTTAAAATAATAGAAATGCTATCATTTGTTAGATATTTTTAATGCTATTTACAGTTTTTATTTATTTACATTGATTAAAAATAGCAATACTAGCATTCAGCTTGCAGTTCATAGTTTATTTTATTTTTAAAAAATAATAATAATGCTAGCACTTGTTTTGCTAGCACTGCTATTTCTTGTCTGGAAGAGTTGACGCTAGTTGCTGAAAGTCAGAGCCAGTCTGCAGATTTTAATTTGACAAATTTCATAGAAAACTACATAGTGTTTGATGGTCACAGATGAACTGATTTTTTTAGATTCAGACTATGATTTCATCCAGTCAGTGATATCAAACATGATTGATATTTCGAGCTGATTTTAGAAACCATATTGTTTTCATTTGTCACGTATCTCCTAGCAATAAGGCATGTTTCTTTGCGAGTTTGCTGTGTTCGGAATGTCTTGAACGTCTGGTAGTGTCATCCTCGTTTAGTGTATGATGCCCAGTTTTTCCTCTGTTTACAAAATCGCAAATGTATGATGTCTTGTTTTTTTTAAATCTGTTCAAATTTTAAAAGTTGTGTAGTGCATTTCAGCTATTATGATTTTGGCCAAATTCTAGAGTTATAGAACTGCACTTAAGATTACACATTGGAAGTCCACCGATGTTCTATTGTACTTTTCAAAGAAAGTTGTAAAAGAGTTGAAAGGAATTGACACCATTAGGCTAAAACAGTTTCACGGCTTTATCTGAAAGCACTGGTAGAATTGTGATGTTTCGTTATCCCATTCAAGTGTCTCTTTCCTCTTATCAGTTGTCAATCTCCACTAAATATATCTTATAAAATGAAAAGACTAAAAAATAAATAAATAAACGATCGTTTTAGCAGCAATTTAATCAGTTTTATGCATGCAATCCTGTGAACATGTCTATCCACAGCGTGTGTTCTCTCAAACTCTCATGTACTCGTCACTCTCCACAAAATCATTAAATTGCAGATATATATGGATCTCCAGCAATTCTCATTTATTAACGTATTGCGAACTTGTTATTTTTCCAAGTCGAATCTGTAACTCATATGTATTGTCATAAAGTACTACAATATAAATCCACTTTTAATTAACTGCTTATCTGTGGGATTTCAAACATGTTTTATTTGTAGAGTCAGAAAATAAAGCACCTGCTCTCGAGCCTCTGACTTCTGAAGGAAAAACTTAAAAGCTTCATATACCATATATATGAACTTGTCCAACTCATCTCCAAATGGCCACTTCATTAGTGCACATAGACATGAGCCTAGTAGACGGATGGCCACATTCATCTATGTCACAGCCAAAACGAAATATAAAGCACAAATGCAGATGGCTATTTCTGTTGTTCCCATCTCAGTCATTTAGATAAACATGAGGCTGCTTTTAAGTGTTAAGCAGTATAAAATAACAAAGCTCTGTTATGTATCTAAAAGTAAGTACATTTTATTTATATAGCACATTTCAACATAGCAAAGCTATCCAAAGTGCTTAATGTAAAATAAACTTAAAAGAGAAAAGAAAACACAGAAAATAATCAAAAAAGACAGACAATAACACAACAATTAAATGAAATTAAAATGCTAAGGAGAAATAATAAGTTTTCAACCTCGATTTAAAAATGGTAATGGAAGGTGCAAGGCGACAGTCTAAAGGCAATTGGTTCCACAGACGGGGGGCAGTGACTGAAAAGGCTCTGTCACCCTTAGTTTTCAAACGGGAACGAGGGACAGATAAAAGAGCCCTGTCAGTGGATCTTAAAAGTCTGGTAGATGACAAAGAGATAATAAGGTCTTTAAGATAAGATGGAGCTTGATTGTTTAGAGCTTTAAAAACAAACAACAGAATCTTAAACTGAACTCTAAAATGGACCAGAAGCCAGTGAAGCGAAACTAAAATTGGAGTGACATGGTCATATTTCTTTGCCCCAGTCAGCAGCCTTGCAGCTGCATTTTGTACCAACTGGAGGCGTGAAAGCGATGACTGAGGAAGACCTGAGTACAGTGAATTACAGTAATCTAAACGTGAGGTAATAAAAGCATGAATAACCTTCTCCCAATCTTGAAAAGACAAAAATTATTTAAGTTTGGAGATGACCCGTAATTGATAAAAACTGTTCCTAATGACAGAATTAAGTTTGGACAAACATAATTCTGAGTCTATGATAACGCCCAGGTTTCTAACCTGTGAGGAAATGAAGGGGAAATGATTGCCCAGCTCCTCAATAATATCCATTCTCATTTTTTGGGGACCAAAAACAATCATTTCTGTTTTGTTCTCATTGAGTTGGAGAACCATTTTTTAATATCTGAGATACATTCCAGCAATGGCGGAATGGAATCACCAGCTTTTAGTGGGAGGTACAACTGCGTATCGTCAGCATATAAATGAAACGAAACATTGTGCTTCCTGATAATATCCCCCAGAGGGCGCATATATAAGTTAAAAAGAACCGGTCCCAAAATAGAGCCCTGAGGTATTCCACTAATAATTGGGGCAGATGATGAGGAAAACTTGCCTAGCTCCACAGAAAAAGACCTGTCTTTGAGATATGAGCTGAACCATCGTAAGGTTGTGCCCCTGATACCGATCAAATGTTCTAAACGGCGAATAAGAACATTATGATTCA